TGTTCAGCCCCCCTTCTTTGGCAACACAGAAAGGAGAATTCTACTGCCTGAGGGTTATAATCCTTAAGTGCGGCCAAAGGCCGCCTACGCAGAAAGGTGCTCTCTGCAAAAGGTGTGAAGCCCCCCTTCTTTGGCAACACTGAAAGGAGAATTCGACTGCCTTAGGGTTATAATCCCTAAGTGAGGCCGAAGGCCGCCTACGCAGAAAGGTGTTCTCTGCAAAAGGTGTTCAGCCCCCTTTCTTTGGCAACACAGAAGAGAATTCTACGTAGTGAGGGTTATAATCCCTAAGTGCGGCCGAAGGCCGCCTACGCAAAAAGAAGTTCTGCGCTAAAATACTATCACATTACTATTACTACAACATTTCTATCTGTCACTTTTTTCTTAATTTCACAATATTTTTAGTAAATTTTTTGTCCTTAATTTTTTTTTAGTTAATTTTTTTTTCAAAACGCCTGATAACCAACTTGGGATAATTTCTTTTATTTAAAAATCCTACGGTTTTCGTTAGTTGGGTTATATTCCACTTCAAACTGCTCAGTTTGCCTCGGAATATGCCGTTTTTACCCCATTTTCAAACGGTTCCCTAGGGGTCTGTGGGAGGTCTCCCCCTCCCCCTCCGCCCCCACCCCAAAAACCATGGGCCAATAACTAAACACTTCCCGAGAATTTATCTAAATTATTCCAATTATAAAATTGTCATGTAGCTTTATTCGAATTGTAATACGCATTTAATTTCATCTTCCGATTAAAATGGATCGATCTTTGTAAATTTTAATTGGAGATTATTCAATATTATCAAAATCACCCTCTACCAACTTAATTTTTACATATTTCGTCTGTTCCCTTAATTTGATAAAATACTTCTTCCTAGTTTCGACTTAGTTGCAGCTGCAGCCGAAACTAAATTTTAAGTTGGTACTTAGCCAGAAAAGTCGAAACTAAGTCGACTATAAATAGCTTTAGTTGTGGCTTAGAATAGTTTCGACTTAGTTGAGTACTAAATATGACTCTGAATATGCGCCATTGTATTGTTTTTTTTTTAATATGCATTTTTACAAGATTATTTATCTTTTAATAATTTTTCAGACAAAAATTTAAGACAACAATTATTTTTCTATAGTATTTGATTTCAAAAACAAAAAAATACATTTCTACAAGATTAATAGATAAAGTCTTTTCATATAAAATGTGTTTAACAAAATAACTCCTTTTTTGTTATATTTCCCAAAAACATCAACCTTTCCAAGTGTTCTCCTGAAAGGCGGTTTCGAGATTTTAATATAGTTGTATCTGTTTTTCAGAAAAGCCTCTCGCAAGGGACAGATGACCCAATAACCGTTATGTATAGACGCAGCGTTGCCGTTTGGAATTTTCAGAAAATCGAAAAACGGTGTTCATTGACGAAAAACGAGTCGCCATATTATTTTTGCTTTTCTTTACTAGTAAAAAATAAATTTGTTGAATTTAAAAAGAAAATAGTTGGACAAGCTTTTCACAAAACAAGGTTGCAAACATACACATAAATCGAGAAGAGTTACAATTCCCTTAAAAGTTTTAAGTGATTTTTACATACTTACAGGAGAAAATATTTTTTGATAGCATGGTTCTGTTCACATTTCCTAAAACAAATCTCTGAAAAGGGGCAAAGGTCGCACATAATTTTGGAAAAGGGTAAAAAAACCTAAATATTCAAAAAGTCGGGTCAAAGGGTATTGGCGCTCAAAAAGGGTCAAATTCGCCCTTTAGTTGCACGATGGCAACACTGTATAGACGGGCTTGCTTAGGCCCTGTCTCCACAGGAAAACACTGATGTCGTGATAACCATGTCACAAAATATATTTCCAATGGAGACCGCCTATTTCTCATGGGCTGCAATATATGTCATCGGTTATTGCTTGACATCTATTGCAGGCAATTTGATAGTTTGACGGATATATTTTCATTTGAAAGAAAGCGTGCTGGTGATAACATCGATGAAATTTTGATATTAAATCAAAATAAGAATATGTTCCAATTTGGATCATTTATGATTACGTTTTAGGAAATTATTCAGCAAGTTTTTTTAAGATTTAAATATTTTTAAACACCGAAATTGAGAGAATATTATCTGGTGACGTCATGTGGTGAATGCTTATTTCAAGACATCAACGTGCCCACACCATGGTTGCCACAATTGGTAACTTTCTACCAAAATTGGTAACTTTTAAACGTTTTGGTAACTTGGTAACTTTTATTTCATTTTGGTAACTTTTGAAACTAAACATCTATCTGCATTACTAGAAAGAAATGAATTAGGTTTTGAATGTGCGTAATTATAAAAACCCTTCGAGTTTCAGTGGCAGCACTACTGACACTTTTACAAAAATACTTCGATTAAATTAGAGTCATATCATATTCGAATACTGGAAATATTTGAATTACAGTGGCAGCACCAAGGGCTGCACTTTTAAAACAACTTTCGAATTTTTGCGATAAATTTTGAATTCTACCTCACATTTTAATACTGGCCATCTGGCAATTTTTGGTAAGGTCCATAAATCGTTTGATTATTCCGGCAAAAAAAGTGTTGCGTGCTTTTTAACAGACCGATTCAGCTCCTATCGCAGCGATTTCGAGATACAGAGAGAGCCCACCGAACGGAAGCAGCAACCTGGTGAATCAGTAGACGCGTTCTTTCATGCTATGGGTGTTCTCCGCTCACGCCTGCGTAATCCCATAGCTGAGTACGAAGCGGTAAAACTTTTTAAATGTAACCTCAGGGAGTCGCTGGCGCGAATGGTGTACCCAATGCCAATCTGGACGGTGGATCAGCTGCGCATAGAATGCATAGAAGCAGAAAGAAGTTTCCCTCGACGAGAGCGTGCCTCTCAGGGTATGGTTCATCAACGCGCATACCAGGCAAGTGAGCTCGCGTTTGACAAAAGCGGTGATCACGAACTCGGCGCCGATGAGGGNAAACCCTGTCGGTCCTGCGTAACAACAGCATCAGGAAAGAAGCACGCCGTACTTGGAAAAGTGACAGTTACTGTAAAATACAATGAGATAGAGCGTATAATGATTTTTTATTTATGTCCATATTTATGCCAATATGCTCACTTACGTGTAGATTTCTGGAGAAATTTCCATTTAGCACCGGATGTGCTTGGAGCCGAGGAAGTGGATCTAGAGAAAGTACACCGGCACTTTGCAGATGTTGAGGGAGACGCCAACGAACCACAAATGCACGAGTTAAATCCGGATCAAGCGGAGCGGCTCGAAGATGTTAAAAAGCAATTCCTGTCGTACGAGGCGCACGGGCTGGGCCGAACACATTTGTTGAAGCACACGATCCAACTGGTCAAGGATGCCACACCTTTCAAAGACCGCCACTATCCCATTTCGCCCGCTGTGCAGGAATTGGTATTCAAGGAAGTGGATGAGATGTTGCGACTGGGTGTAATAGAAGAGAGTGAAAGCCCCTGGAACAATCGAACGACGCTGGTCCGGAAACCTACAAAAAATCGGTTATGTTTGGATGCGAGAAAGTTGAACGCACTTACAATCAAAGATGCGTACCCATTGCAGAATATCGAGGGCATTTTGAGCAGGATAGACCAGACGCATTTTATAAGTAGCATTGACTTACAGCACGCTTTTTGGCAGATCGAGCTCGATGACAACAGCAGACAATATACGGCATTTACTGTCCCAGGCGGACCGCTGTACCAGTTCTGCGTGATGCCGTTCGGTCTGTGCAACGCTGCGCAACGTTTCTGTCGCCTCATGGACCTGGTCGTGCCACAAAAGCTAAAGGGAAATGTGTTTGTGTACTTGGACGATCTGCTAGTGATATCGCAAGATTTCAAAACGCACATGCAACTGCTACGGGAAGTCGCCACTTGTTTTAAAAAGGCAAATTTGACCATCGGGCTCACTAAATCGAAATTTTGCTTCAAGCAGTTGAGATACCTCGGACTCGTCATCGGTGGAGGGATGTTAAAAACAGACCCGCAATTCGATAGAAATAGAGGATTACACACTTACAATCTTAGGTCCAAAGTGAACACTGGTCTGCTAGTAGAAATGTTTCACACTCCCAAAGACACGCGTAGGCGTTCCACATCAGAGGGTCGGTTTGTAGACTTGTCTGAAACAATAAATATTAGAAATGCAAATGAAAGTGAAGCTCGTAACGTTTCACCGGACAAAGATGTTGACGCAGAAAACGATTGTGTTGAAGAAGCAGCTGGACAAGGAGTGCAAGAACCACCGGTCCCCCCAGTCCCTGTTCAGCCAAGTATTCTAAATTTTCCTCCCCCGATCGGACTTACTAGAAGTGCTCGTCCCAGCGAAATTCTCCCACATCCGCGAGCATGGCGAGAAGAAATAACGCCAATTGTCCGGGACGTAATTCTCGAGATGCAAAATTCTTGGAAGAAGGAATTGATGGAAGAAATGAGGTCAGGTTTCAGGGCAATGTTAGGTAACATGAGAAGCTTGTCTAACCCCGTGCAAGCGCGCGCCCAATCACAGGCCAGCAACTCTGGGAATCCACGGAACTCCAGCAATGGGCAGTCTGAAAGCAGACACGGTCGGGAAGAGGGTGCCATTAATACGCGAAGCCATAACAGCGGGGGCGCGATACCTAAAAACGGAAACAGTAACGCGGTTTCTTGTTACCAGTCTGATAATGTGGCACGGCAACCACAAACCCGCTTTACGCCAGCTCCACTACCAGAATATGTTCGACGCGAACAAAATAAGCAGCAGCCGACGTTCACATGCCAACCAGAGGAAACGGGCCGTCAGCAATCTCCTCAGGCGTCGTATCGTATGCCTGAAAATAACAATCGTCCGGTACAACACGAAATCAAAGTGGATAAATGGGGACTAACATACCAGGGCCACAATGATAAAATCACCGTAGAGGATTTCCTGTTCCGCCTGGACCATCTGCGCCAACATTATGGGTGTGAATGGGCTGACGTGATGCGAGAGTTTCACCATCTCCTGACCGGCGAAGCTAGAGAATGGTATTGGCTCTTTGTAAAAACGTACCGAGTCGCCGATTGGCCTACGCTACAACAGGCACTTCAGCGNAATTTTTGGTAAGGTCCATAAATCGTTTGATTATTCCGGCAAAAAAAGTGTTGCGTGCTTTTTAACAGACCGATTCAGCTCCTATCGCAGCGATTTCGAGATACAGAGAGAGCCCACCGAACGGAAGCAGCAACCTGGTGAATCAGTAGACGCGTTCTTTCATGCTATGGGTGTTCTCCGCTCACGCCTGCGTAATCCCATAGCTGAGTACGAAGCGGTAAAACTTTTTAAATGCAACCTCAGGGAGTCGCTGGCGCGAATGGTGTACCCAATGCCAATCTGCCAGCTGCCAGCTGCGCATAGAATGCATAGAAGCAGAAAGAAGTTTCCCTCGACGAGAGCGTGCCTCTCAGGGTATGGTTCATCAACGCGCATACCAGGCAAGTGAGCTCGCGTTTGACAAAAGCGGTGATCACGAACTCGGCGCCGATGAGGGTCAAGTACGTCCAAATTGCCAGCAAGGTCGAGCGGCAGGACGAGAGCTGGGCCAAACGAAAAGAACTTTGCACTGCTGGAATTGCGAACAAGAGGGTCACTTTTTTACAGACTGCATGGCATTGCAAAGAAAAATCTTTTGCTTTAAGTGCGGCTTACCCGACGTAATAACACCAAAATGTACCAGATGCAACCCGGAAAACTCAAGGCGGAATGTGACGGTGCCGAGTCAGTCACGCTCCACACAATACCCGGATTAGACAAAGCCACTAATACGTAACTCCAATTCCAGCAGACGAACGGCAGCGAAATATCACCTGAAAAGAGTAAAGAAATTACAGTTTTGCGGAAGCGTAGCGAGAAAAACAAAGTTGTGAGGAATCCGTTTAGAGAAACCGCGATAAAACCAATCGAACAGCGAGTCCCAAATTACTATAAAGTACGTCAGCGCATTTTTCGAGAGCAACCTTTAGATGGTTCGAAAGTAGTCACCCGCAAGGTCCAGAAAGCTCGGCAACGATATAAACAGCGTAAAACAGCACGGCAAGAAGTGGCAGCGACGACTATCGCAAATAATGTAGATGATCCCAGAGCTTTTGCAGATATTCGGATACGAGGAAAACCCGTCCGGGGGCTATTGCACTCGGGGGCATCGGTAAGCATCCTCGGGAAAAATTGTAGGGAACGGGTCGAAGAGCTAGACATTCCCGTAAAACCCTGTCGGTCCTGCGTAACAACAGCATCAGGAAAGAAGCACGCCGTACTTGGAAAAGTGACAGTTACTGTAAAATACAATGAGATAGAGCGTATAATGATTTTTTATTTATGTCCATATTTATGCCAATATGCTCACTTACGTGTAGATTTCTGGAGAAATTTCCATTTAGCACCGGATGTGCTTGGAGCCGAGGAAGTGGATCTAGAGAAAGTACACCGGCACTTTGCAGATGTTGAGGGAGACGCCAACGAACCACAAATGCACGAGTTAAATCCGGATCAAGCGGAGCGGCTCGAAGATGTTAAAAAGCAATTCCTGTCGTACGAGGCGCACGGGCTGGGCCGAACACATTTGTTGAAGCACACGATCCAACTGGTCAAGGATGCCACACCTTTCAAAGACCGCCACTATCCCATTTCGCCCGCTGTGCAGGAATTGGTATTCAAGGAAGTGGATGAGATGTTGCGACTGGGTGTAATAGAAGAGAGTGAAAGCCCCTGGAACAATCGAACGACGCTGGTCCGGAAACCTACAAAAAATCGGTTATGTTTGGATGCGAGAAAGTTGAACGCACTTACAATCAAAGATGCGTACCCATTGCAGAATATCGAGGGCATTTTGAGCAGATCGAGCTCGATGACAACAGCAGACAATATACGGCATTTACTGTCCCAGGCGGACCGCTGTACCAGTTCTGTGTGATGCCGTTCGGTCTGTGCAACGCTGCGCAACGTCTCTGTCGCCTCATGGACCTGGTCGTGCCACAAAAGCTAAAGGGAAATGTGTTTGTGTACTTGGACGATCTGCTAGTGATATCGCAAGATTTCGAAACGCACATGCAACTGCTACGGGAAGTCGCCACTTGTTTTAAAAAGGCAAATTTGACCATCGGGCTCACTAAATCGAAATTTTGCTTCAAGCAGTTGAGATACCTCGGACTCGTCATCGGTGGAGGGATGTTAACAACAGACCCGCAAAAAGTCGAAGCCATCGCGAAAATCAGCGTACCGAAATCGCCCAGGGATGTAAGAAAATTTTTAGGTACTGCGGGCTGGTATCGCCGATTCATCAGAAACTTTGCATCGCTAACAGCACCAGTGACAGACACTCTGAAAAAATAAAAAGTTTTCTCGATGACTCCAGAAGAACTAGAAGCATTTAAAGAATTAAAAAATGCGCTTACCACAGCTCCGGTACTCCGACATCCAGATTTCAGAAAAAGATTTTTTATTCATTGTGATGCGTCTGATGTGGGCATAGGGGCGGTATTGTTTCAAAAAGAGGACGATGGGGCGGAACGACCCATAGCCTTTTTCTCGCAAAAGTTGAGCAGTTGTCAGAGAAACTATAGCGTAACGGAGAAAGAGTGCTTGGCGGCAGTATTGGCAATCAAACGATTCCGACCGTACGTCGAAATGATGCCTTTCACAGTAGTGACGGATCACGCCAGCCTCAAGTGGCTAATGTCATTGCGCGACTTGAGTGGGCGCCTCGCTCGATGGTCTCTGCAATTACAAGCGTACGATTATGAAATTACTCACCGTAAGGGTACCGAAAACATAGTAGCCGATACGCTATCATGGTTAGTGGATGAATTGAACCTGGAGGATTATCCCATCTCGTCCTTGGAAACAACGGCATTTAGCTCTGTAGAATATCTGGAGATCCTCAAGGCCATTGAAAGCAACCGAGACAAGTTGCCGGACTTGAAAACCGAAGGCGGTTATGCATTTAAGCGCACTAGATTTGCGGCACAAAATGGCGAAGAGTTCATCTGGAAGCTGTGGATTCCCGAGGAGCTGACGACTACACTGATTGCGGAAGCACATGAGCCGGAGAATAGATCTCATGAGGGTATCGGCAAAACTTTACACCGGATGCGCAGATTCTATTAGTGGCCGAAGATGGTATCTCAGGTTGTTGGCTTTGTGCGTCAGTGCGTTGTTTATAAACAAACAAAAGCTTCGAATCGTTCGTTAAAGCCAGGTATAGGGCAAGAGGTTCTTACAGAGAGACCGTTCCAAAAAATTTATGTGGATTTTTTAATGGGAAGCAATTTGTGAGTAAAGAGTTTGGAAAAATGATCGACCAGTATAGGATAAAGCACCTGAAGACTGCGTTTTATGCTCCACAATCCAACGCTGCTGAGAGGGTCAATCAATCAGTATAAGCCGCCATTAGAGCATATCTACAGCAGGATCATCGAGATTGGGACCTCTATTTAAACGAAATCGAGTCTGCGTTACGAAGGTCGGTCCACTCTGCAACGGGCGTTACTCCATATTTTGCATTGTTTGGCCAGGAAATGTTTACATCCGGTAGCGACTACAAACTGGCGCGGAAATTAGTATTTTTGAGCGTGGGTGAACTTAGCATAGTCAATCGCGAAGATTATTTGCAAATAATGCGCGAACGAATTAAAGTAAACTTGCACGATGCGTATGAGCGGAGCGCGCAGCGGTACGGCAGGAGGAAACGCACAATAAACCTACGTCCGGGCCAAGAAGTATTCAAGAGATATTACGTCTTAAGCGATTTCAAAAAAAATATCAACGCGAAATTTTGCCCGAAGTATATTAAATGTCGAATTGTCAAGGCAATCGGAAATAACATATTCGAAATTGAGAACCTCCAAGGGAGAGCACTTGGCGCGTGTCATGTAAAGGACTTAATACCGTAACACAATCTATAAAACACGTAATGACACCCGGTCTAGCTCGCGGTAAAGGAGACGGCACCTCAGGGGTGGGTGTGGCCTACGCTAGGCGCTTCACAAAACAAATACCGCGCTCCACATTTTTCCACCATCTCATCTGCAGACGCTAGAAGCTGAGAGTGGCAGAGAAGGTGTGCTGTTATGGGAGCGCTGTTCGTTGGCAATCGCCGAAGTTTTTTTGTTGGTGATTCCCTCAAAATAGGCTCAGCGCGTCCAGCAAAATAACCCTAGGAGAACTATGGAAATATATGTACTAGGGCTGTGACTATCCGCACATTCGAATATCCGGATATCCATGCGGATTATCCGTTGACACGAATAAAATCCGGATAGTATGGATATCCGGTTAATATTCGCTTGTGCAAGTATTCGGATATCCGGATTTACGAAGATCCGGTTAATATTCGTATTTTCAGATATCCAAAAAAAATCAACAAACTGATTAATAATATGCAACGATCTTTAATTTCCCAATACCAGGCGCTCATGCATATGAAGTAGCAAGTTTTCTATACGCATATATTTGTTTTTTGAACTTTTTAATTCGTTTGTAGAAGCCTTTGAAATTACAAAGTAGAATTTTGGAAATTTTAAAATTGATACAAACAATTTTGTCGTAGAAATAGAAAACTTGTTACTACACATTTATGAGCGCCAAGTATTGGGAAATGAAAGTATCGTTTTTATAACGAAAAATCCGGATATTCGGATAGCCGAATATTATCTTAGCTTCCAGAGTAACCGGATTTTTCATTTAGGTATCCGGATATTCGAATATTCGGTTTATCCGGATAGTACAAAAATCCGGATGAAGTTCCCAGCCCTAATATGTACGTATGTAGTCTGCGTCGTGCCCTTGGATGAAATTTTTTTTTTGATACTTGCCCAACCAGTCCGGCGAATTGATGCTGATGTCATGGAGCAGCTGCCACTACACACTGCAAGCTAGCTAGTCGCACATGGTGCTATGCTCATCTTCCTATTTAAAAAAAGGAAATTACTACCATTTAATCAGTAATATATAATTGCCTCTAATCCTTTTTTTATTTTGACTTACCCAAAACTCCTGGCCTGTGCGTTGTATAGGTTATTGTTTTGACAGTTGACTACCAAAGACAATAAAAAGCTTTATCGACATTGCCAGGCCAGTGTTTTTAGCAACTGGTATAATGCACTGGAAGAAAAGGAAAAGAAAAGGGATAGTTAGATTATCGAGGATACTAATACAAGTAAAAGGTTTAGAAGGATGTGGGGGATGGCTCCAACTCCGATAAATAAGGAAACCAAGGATATAAAAGTAGGTCGATTCTAGCGGAGTTGCCAAAACGTTAGTCAACGGCAGGACTTGCCACTACCGAAAGTGCGGTTTCCTTTTGTTTAAAACGTCCGCGGTAAATTCATGTGAGAATTGTAATCGTTTTTAAGTTTAAAAAAAAAGGTATAAAAAAAGGTTAAATTAAATTTTATATGTGCAAATAAATAAAAAGTTGATTATACGTAGCGCTATTAGGAGCCGCACAACAAATTCCCAAAGGCGCCCATAGAGGAGATCATCGTTTATTTATTACTGTATTAGGATATATCGGAGCCCGCAAAAGTGTTAGTCCGGAACATCTGTGCATATACATATATAAAGTGTTAGGAAACTAAGGCAGGTTTTCTTTGCAGAGTGCCGGAAACTGGTAGGGCAGGTGAAACGATCTTCCCCAAGAT